TTTAACCGGGACAATATCATATATGCCTCTATAGTGGCCTTGAGTGCGAGAACGAAGAACAAAGGATGACGTTTCATAAAGAAATTTGCGAAGGGATAAAACACATTGGCCACCGTTTCGCAGCAAATATCAAACGTGAAATGATATAAAAGAAATTCACATAATTACTAAAATTGTAAATAAAATGAAATTAAGGAGAAGAAAGATTAGACTGAATATTTCGCACAATTTATATACATAATAATAATAATCCTTTCGAAATTAAACTGAAAATCCAACATAAATCACTTTTGAGCTGTCAGTGATTAAACAAGAAGTGATTAAAAAATAATAAAATCTCAAACTAAATTAACTTTTATCTTTTTAATAATAAATTAAAAATTTTAATAGTATTAATATTTAAAAAAATATTATAAAAATTATGATTATATAACTTATCAAATGGTATATATTAATGACTTTTCTTCATAATATATATATCTCTAATATTATGTCCACATTTGATGTACATGCCGTGTAAGAGCTGGTAAATTTTATTAATAAAGTATACGTGGCTAGTACACTGTGAAAGCACTTACAGGAGATGCAGAGTTGGAGTATCCGCTTAATAGTATTATTTCGTTATTATATTTTTTTTCGTAGTAACCGCATAATGATCCATTTAACTAGAAATTATTAAGCTTCTAAAACTAAGCATGATAATGGATTATTAGAGAATGTTTTATTATACGTTAATCTTAATTTACTCGCGTATCTTTTTTATTAATATTATATAAATAATATGCACAAAATAGAGTAAAACGAAATCATATATCAAAATAGAATCATAATAATAAAAAATCGAAAAAATCGAATCTATAAAGAAAATTCTTTATAGATTTGATTTTTTTCGATTTTCAAGACAATTAATTTAAATTCGATTTTTATTAATCTCTATTTTTTTATATAAATTTTATTATATAAACGAGAAAGAGAAATATTATTCAACGGTAGCTAGATGCCTGTATTTTTTTCAGCATGACGTGTCTGTATCTTGATGATATATTATTTTGATATTTTCATGTTACAGGCAACCTCATGGTGATCTTCGTGGTAACGTTTTCCCGTCGGTTGCGTAGCATCACAAATTTCTTCCTGGCAAACCTGGCGGTCGCGGACTTTTGCGTTGGCATATTCTGCGTTTACCAGACGCTCACTAATTACTTGATGAATAGCTGGCAACTGGGTGACTTTCTCTGTAAAGTGTACATGTTTGTGCACGCGCTCTCGTACACTGCCAGCATACTGATCCTTGTGGTGGTGTGCACCGAGCGTTATCTGGCCATCGTCCATCCTATCAAATGTCGAGCCATGCTAACTAGAAGACGCCTCAGAATGGTAATAGGCGTGGTATGGATTTTAGCAGCGGTGTACGCCTCGCCGAGATTTTTTACGTTGAGACCATCAGCAATCGTCTCAACAACGGTGACATCGACATCATTTGTATAGCTAATATCAAGAAGCACAACAAGAACGTTCTGGATGTAGTGAACCTCGTCTTCCTCTATCTCCTGCCGCTCTTTCTGATGTGCTGTCTATACACCAGGATCGCCATAGGCCTCTGGAGAAGCAGCGCGACCTTCGGAGGACCCGGTCTGGTCGCCAGGACCAGAAATGGTAGAGTCCAGCACGTACACACGTCCAGCAGAAACGTATTGAAGGCGCGACGCGGCGTTATCAGGTAAGTCTATTTCCGGTATTGCACAATAACGCCTTCGATTTCCGCCTCGCCGAAACCAATATCCGTTTAGGCGATTCCATCCGAGAATTGTGCCTACTTGGCCGCAAATGGAAATAGTTAATGATTTTTTTGTTTCTTTATTAACGCATCATAAACGCGTATCTCGACTAATTTTGCAAAAATAAAAAACCATTTAAAAAGATATGTATAATAACGTAGAAACAAAATGAAATGTGAATAATTGAATAACAATTGGTAGGTTTGTAATGTTCGTGATGCATTGCATAGTTATATCCGCTTTATTTGATACATTACAATTTAATTACGTAACATATTTGTGTATACCAAAGGTAAATTATTAAACTAAATGACCAAATGTTTAATTAAAAATTGTTCTTTAAATGAAAATTACATATTTAATCTGTTCAAAGAAGGTTCTGAAAAAATTTCCGAAAAGATCGCGATATTAATATTTAGCCGTTATTCGACGTTAAATGTGTACGTGTGTTTCGAAGCATGTTAATACTGTTAAGAATGTTTGTGGCTGGTCGTCAAGGTCGTCTCGTCGCTATTTTCCAGAATGTTGATCGCGGTGGTGATGATGTTCGCCGTGTGCAACCTGCCTCAGCAGGCGCGCATCGTCTGGCGACACTGGGGCCCGAACTACGATCGCACGTCGGACTTCAGCACGCTGCTGACCGTGTCGACCTTCCTCATCTCGTATATGAACTCCTGCCTGAACCCGCTGCTGTACGCCTTCCTGTCGCGCAACTTTCGCAAGGGTATGCGCGAGCTGCTGCACTGCGGGGGGGCGAGAAACAGCGACGGTGCACTAGCGATGGTGTGCGCCAGCGGTGACCACAACCGCCACGAGAACGGCGTCAGCGTCCATCAGAGCTCGGTCGTCCGAAGCTCCATTCAGGACAGCCCGTCCACCCGACGGACCGTCACCCGACAAACCATCACCAGGCAGACCATCACCCGGCAGAGCATTTACGGCAAGAAAACTTAGTGTATCATCGCCGTCGACGCGAGTAGATCGCGAGGCGATTCTTTACAGGGTATTCCAGATCCAGGAGCTGGCAGAATCCTTCTCAGGGAGGTGCGCGAACGCCTGCGGAATCTTTTTCAAGCGATCTGTTTTGACCTGCAACTTACTTATTTTAACGAAAGCGCGAAATGGATGAAGCGACGAAGCGTCGCGTTGGGCGACGGGAGACCTACTTATCCGTCTCGTGAATTCGAATTAATCGAAAGATTCGCGGAATAAGGGCGAAATCTGTATACGAATAAGTCAACAAGTCGAGAATGAATATTTCGTGGCGAGAAAATCCCTTCTTTTTTTTTTTTTTAAATTATTCCTTTTTCGGTGTTTGAAAGATTTCTATTCCGTATCGAGGAACTCGCGTTCAAAGTACTCGTAAAATTTTTCGAACACCAAAATGAGACTTTTCGAGTCTCGATTATAATAAAATAGACTCTACATGAAATTCTGGTTTACTTTGAAAATCAGTTCCTCGAGCCTCGAATCGCAAATCGTATTATCTCAAAGGACGCAGGACTCGCAGCTCAATTTCTTACTGATACGTGACGCCATAATCTAATAATATCGGCCCACATACAGTCGCAGAAATTGCCGCGTTTCGGGAACAACTATACCTCGATAGTGATAGTTTTCATCGCACAAGAGAGAGAGAGAGAGAGAGAGAGAGGAGGGGAGGGGGTAAGAGGGTGAGAAGGAGGAAGGAGATTCGGTTGCGATCAGATGGTGTCAGTGGCATACAAGTTTGTCGGGGTGAATGCAACGTGTGGGTGTGTGTACACAAAGCTGAGTACGGTGAGCTTAATCGGAGCTTATTCAGAGCGTATTACATACTCCTATTTCTTGCTCCCCTCGGCGCAAACAATACAGACTGAAACTGTTGTGAGTTTTGTCTGTATTCGCTCGGTTTGGCTTTACTACGCAAGATGCCAAGAAGAAATTACGTTATGCGACCAAAGTACGATCGCCGCATTTACGGTTACACATTACGTCACAGTTACATATTGACGTTTTATTTACAGATTCGATTGTATCGTAGAATTTTTGATAAGAATTATATCTTTCTCCACTAATTTTACGCTTACGTATCACACTGACGTAATTCTTACGCATCAAAATCGTGTTTTGACTTGATTTATCTCTTAATCTCAAGTGAGAAGTCGTCATTTTCCATCATAAATTACTTTTCCAAGAAGAAGTTTGCTTGAGCTAGTGCTAATGCTTGCACTAGTACTACTTTAATAAATTGGCAACCGTACTTACTATAAAATTCACATTTGTTAAAAGTGTGTAGAAAGAGAGAATTGAATGATATGTGTGAATGAATATTATAAACTATTGAGGATTTATTATCAGATTATATTAATGTCAAGTACATAGCAAATAAAAAGAAAATTATGAAAAAGAAAAGCAGTGCAATGTTTTATGCATTTTATGCATTTTGTAACTTACGGACTTGGTACTTAAACATCTAACGCATAAAATGCGTTAGAAATTTTAGAATTTTATTTAAAATATATTCATCATACGAGTATAAATTAAATACGCATAAAACTTTGAAATATGTTCAAGATATATTATTGGAATTCTCAAAAACAACAATTCTTTAAAAACATCAATATATGATATAATATGCTTTAACAGTTACAATATTGGAAAATATTTTTATTTAAAAAAAATACTGTATTTGTGTTTAAATTAGTTACGTGACGAGTATCGACACGCATTTTAACAAATAATATTTTTTAGATTAAAAAAATAATGGAATAGAAATACACTAACAATTTATTTGCATCGGTAGAAAGTTAATTGATCCGATGTAAAAACGCAATCTCAATAGAGACCGAACTCCATTGGGACTGATAATTTATCTGATCGTATTGGATAGTCATCTGGTAATACTGCCTTCGATTTCTGGCATTTATCAGTGTTTAATGCTTCATAAAAACGCACTCTGTATAAAATGGAATTAAAGCGAATATAAATGTTTTCAGTTTTCGCATAATATTGAGAATAATACAGACAATCTTTTACCTAAAAGAAGCTTATTTGCAAGTTTTAATAATAATTCACGCTCAAATGAATAAACTTAAATTACAGAAAGTATTTTAATTTTCTATTTACTACAAGTGTTCAGTTATTGAATAAAATTGTCGTGATTTATAATTATCGATTTTAGGTTTTATGTATAAATAAAGAATTTCAATTTCACGTTAAGTAACAAAGTTTAATATCAATTATTGAGGTAATTACAAAAAAATGATTATATTTTTGTTTAAGTAAAAAAGACAATGACTCTGGAATACCCTACTATTCAATTTTTATTAAAAGATCTGCATTATATAACAACAAATCACTTTGTAAAATACCGCGTAAAATACACGCGAAGTGTTAAACCGCGGTTTAAGTGGACGGAAAAAAATCTGGAAAGATAAAACAAAACGTTTGTAAGCACTGCTTCGACGCGATGCCATGTAATTTGCTCGAGAAGAAAAATTTCTCTGACTGAGATATACATATATTCTTCCTTCACGTTCTCTCAACTCTATGCAATCTTAAAGGCAAATTTTAAATCTGCACTCTTGACAAGCAAGACTCCTTATTGTCTTCCTGCATCACTCCTCGTAATTTTGTCGTATTCCTCGAAAGTGCTCTCAACGCGTGCTTCTCGTAGCTTTCTGAGAAAGAATCCATAGGAAATCTTAATGGTACATATATCATCTTTATATACAATAAGCTAAAATTCTATAAATTCGAATAAAATGACAACGATTTAAATAAATTGCTCACAATTGTAATTTTCTATACAAGACACTTAAAATCAAGATATTACTTTAAAAACTCTTTTTTATCTCTTTGAAAATAATTTTTTTTTCGGAAAATATAAACGAAGATGTATTTTATTATAGTCTTGATCAAAAATAGGCATATTTTTTTCATTTATTTGAAATCCATTTGATTGTGGCATTATATACAAGTTTAAAGAGTTCTTGAAATAAAGATAATTTGCAACAAATGAAACAATATAGAATTCCAGATAATTAAAGAAAATATTGATCAATACTTTTAGTCAAGATTGTATATTAATTATGATTTAACACTTTCTTTACCGTTAAGCTTTAATTTTCACATTGATATTTTTATCAAAAAAGAAAAATTTATTTTAAATGTTGATAGCTACATATGCGCTTATTATTATATACCGTTATTAAACGCGACTCACTAATTACATATAAATCTGATTTTATATCGGAATTACCATTTATAATTGTCACTTATTTGAGCCACTGTTATTTGAAACTACCTGGAAAATCATTGCGAATGAAATAGAAATATGTGTACAGCGCAATTATTGTCAAACATTTGCTCGATTTTCCAGAGGAAAACCCAACACAGACTAATATTATGTTTCAGGAAATACAAACATTACGTATAATCATTTGTCAAAGGAAACTTTTAGGGAAAATAAATAATTATGGTTTTGTAGAACGATAGTTTCGTGGAACTTATTGCTCCGCGAAACGTAAAACGTTTTCTCTGTGAATTGTCTTGTCATGAAAGTCTTCTTCACTAAGTGTAATAGAGTGAACTTTAGTTGCAACGACGAGCGACGATAGGAAACGGAAACACATTGGGTCTAGTAAGAAAAGAATGATAAAAAGATTGCGGTGTACGTTTCGCACTATTTTTATTGAGAAAGCTTCGCCATCGCTTTGCAGATAACACGGATTTCGCATTAATGTAACGCTACGGGCGTTTGGCAATGATACAAGAAATCTCCGAATCGGCCTGAGAGCGGCAACGCGAGATAGCGAAATGCGAAGTGTTTCAGAATCATCATTTTTTTTTTTAATTAAGTGAAAGGAGGATTTTATCAAAATTACACAACAAATTTATCGGTTGATAAAATATGAAGAAAAATTTGGGTAACATTGAAGATAATATTTTAATTGCTAAAGATAAATAAGTACAATAAAATATTATTTCATAAGTTTATTTAAAAAATATGACTTTAACAAATTAATTTTTTATAATAATACTTAATTGACAAAATTTTTCTGAATATTAAAAGATGCCAATGAATTATGATATAATTTCCATAAAATTTTTAAAAAAATTCAACCTTCTGAATTTACTTTACCGTTTAAAAAAAAGTGCAATTGCATAATTAGAATCACTTTACAAATTTTATTTTACATTTTAAATGTTGTAAGAATGTTCTTCACAACATTTGGATTGTGACGTTGACATTTATAGAAACATTATGAGAGAAATTTAGCATTTGTTTCTTTCTTTGACATTTTTGCACCAACTTACGACTTCAAATCGCAAAGTGTTCGATCATTTCAAACACGTTGTGCCCACTATAAATTTTGCCATTATCGCTGCGAGCTGCTCACCGCAACATGTCATTAATCATATTCCTTTCTATCGCTCCTGTCACGTTATAAACCTTGAAAGTACCTGTAATTTACAAGTTTCTCGCGTAACAATTTATATTCTGTGAACAACATCTCCATCTGAAAACATTATTATGTCACAAATGCACTGGTATAGGAAAAATATTGCAAACGTCATACCTTGAAAAAAAAAATGATTTTTTTATTTATCGTTGAAAACACAATTCTTGCAAAATGTAACGATTACGAATGTTATTTATTTTCTTTGTAACTAAATAGAATATTTTCGGGAATGATTTTTATGAAATTTTCCTCTTCGATATTTATGGTATATTTTTGCATGTCAATTAAATATTTGAAGAAGAAGTATGTATAAATATGACGAAATTATTATCTTAATCTAATTTATAACAGTTTGTTTCTAAAAGTGGAAATTTAAACTGAAAGATAATTATATTGTTATATTCTAAATTGAAGATTAAAAAATTAAAAGATTACGATGCATGTTAATATGACATTCTTAATCGCCTAGATGTTTAATCATTAAACTGCAAAGTTGCGAAAGTCGATGGAAGGATGCATCTCATTTTGAAAAAAAACGTATATTATCTTGCACATTATGCAGATTATATTACTTTATTATAACAGAGTGATACAAAATTAACAACTTAAACACCGATAAATTAAACTATTAAATATTTTAAAACGATATTATTTAACTATTATACATTTTTTCTTAATAAAAATTTGATTCGAACCTATTATTTGTAATAATCTCACGTACAGAAAAAATGTTTGATAACAAGACAAAAGATATCCTCGATATTTAATCTTATCTCTATTCTATGTAATATAAATATTTAATATATGCAATATAATTATTATTTTATACTATAGATTGTTACAAAAGAAAGTGATCAGTTTATCAAAAAAGTGACTGTAACGATGTTACAAGTAACACTCTCTAATTCTTATTCATCATATATAAAAATTAAGCATTTTTAGATCCAGATTCATATGAATTTTCTTTAACATATCGATGGGAACATTCTTCGAATATTTGACTTATCTGTCTGCATCTCGTATAATTATTTTTATATCCTATTTTATGAAAAATCGAATATTAATAGTATTGAATCTGGAAATCTTTTCCATGTGTGCTATTACATATTACATTTTGAAAAATCGAAACGTTTTACTTATACGTAAAATTTGAATTCGTTTCTGTCTTTGATTGATTTCTTCAAACAGGTATAAAAAAACTGAAGAAAATACATCTAGCGAACGTTAAGCTACACGTCTAGTGACATTGTTTCCTGTGATGGAACACGTTCATCTATGCATGAGGAATAAAGCGTAGATGCCTGAGTCTTACGGACGGCAAAAGAGTCGGGAGAGGCGCGTGACGGTGATTGCATCTGTCGCGGCGAAACGCATGAGAGTCGCTCGGAGGAAGAATTGCGAGAGACAGAAAGCAGAGAAGCGCCTCGCGTCCGTTTTTCTGATAGCGCGATTTTGCTCTCTCCGAGAGAGAGAGCGGCAAGCGCTCCGCGCCTCTCCTCTCCCTTCGATCCACCTTCGGGTCGGCCTTTCTTTCTCAAAGTCGTCGACCCGAATAAAGCGCAATCGCGAGGAGACAGGTGTCGTGAGCGATAAGGCTCTTCGTGTCGCCGTGGAGAACACAGAGAGGGATCTATCGAGTTTATCGTCTCTCGAAACGATATCGATCATCCGGCACTCAAAAGAGTATTCGCTGATTGCGATCTTGTTAAATCGAGATATTGGTTTTTGCCTCGATTAAATTTCTATTGACAATTGAAACTGTGTTTTGGTTAAAATTCTATCACCGGACCGAACATTGTTGTTAAATTGGCTAAAATTATTTTTCTGTCTT